GACAAGATGTATTACGTTGGGCAATGCACCTCCAGCCCCGTGGCCTCACCAGCCGTCGCTTGTCGCAGCTACACCTGCGAGGATGGAGGTGGCACGTGTATCCGAGACAGATAGCGACGAAAACGCAGACGTGGCGACAAGTTCATGTGCTATTTTCACGGTCTCGACAAGATGGCTAGAACTACGTTTAGCAGCGGGCCGCGATCGCGTCCTTGGGCAGCAAATTCTTGGACTTCAACAGCTTGATAATGTACTCGAGCTTATGGCCAGTGTTGGCGCCGCCGGTCGAGGTGCACCCGCCGCAGTTGTGCAAGGCCACGACTTTGTTGTCGATGGCGCTGATGATGGCAGAGCCAGACGACCCGCCTTCCGTATCGACGTTGTACGCCAGTGTGTCACTTCCGCCGCACTCGGACGGGGTCGACACGTTTGTGATGCGGGACGGCCTGCCGCCATCGCTCAAATACGCAATGCTCTTGGGGCGGCCGTCAGGGTGACCGATGGTGTAGACGGGTTCGTTCAACGTGGCCGCCGACGCACGCGCCTGCAAGTACCCGAACTTGGTGAGGTTGATGCCACGGTTCACATGCAACTGGACCAAGGAGAAGTCGAGCGACGTGTCCGAGATGATCAACGTCGAACTGTTCGCGACGAACGTGCCGCCGCACGCGGCCCTCATGCCGTTGTTCGGGTTCGTAGCAGTCGCGCATTCGGCACCAAATTCCACGATCGCAGCCGATGCATCGTCCTGCGACCTAATGCAGTGGTTGTTGGTGATCAAGTGGCCTTCCGAGCCCCACAGCCACGCCGTGCACCACCCTGCACGAAGACGCAGTCGGGCGACGGACTTGGCTAGCTTGTACTTGGTAGCCTCCACGTACTTGACGGCGACGGCAGGCCGGGCGTGATCCGTGCCGCAGATGGATTCTTTACCCGGGACGGCGTCGCCAGTGGCGGACGCGATCGCGACGACGGCAACGAGGGTCAGCGTCTTCAACGCCCAGCCCATGCCGCTTGTTGGCGCCGCCGAGTACATTCGATAATGCACACCGAGTGTAGCCGTGTAGATCCAATCGGTCCCACGATGCGATTGACCGCAGCATTAGGAACAAGATCTTGCCTGCTTGCGAAGGTGGCTGCGGGCGGTGTGGTCCGTCCCGTTTATTGAAGACCACGTGGCTTTTGGCGACACACCCTGGCCCCTCATGCACCACATCGACGACACGTACCGACAAGACAGGTTGCGTCGTCGTGAAGAGAGTTCGGCCCATCGAACTGCGAGGGAAAATGCAGCAGCCCTGGATAGAACGACGTGTATACCGTTATGGCCTTGACAAATCCCCTGGAGAATGTTCACTGGGGTGTCATGCACCCCCGTCCGTCGGCCCCCCCACCAGCCTAGGCCCCATCTCTCTACCTTTAGTGCGGCCACGGCTCTATTCCCTCAACCCACCACGCTCTCTCCAATGCCGACGAGATATTTGGTCACATCCTTCACGTGGGGGACAGCAGGGTGCGGTTGGCGTCGGGCGAGGCTGCTGACGGGGTGATCGTTGTCCGAACAGACTGCGTTGCGGTCGTGTCGGAGGATGTGTGCGCCCCGCAGAAGCATACGACGCAGGGGGAGGCTCGACGTAGGAGGGGAGTGTGATGATGGATGGTCTCGTTGTGTCGCAAATGCGTCAAACGGGCCACTGGCCGACCACCGACAGTGTTATGTCGCGTGCTGAGGGTTGCTGTAGCGACGGCTTGCGGCGGGAGAACCTGCCGCTCGAACGAGACAGTGTCGAAGCGCGTGGCGCGGTGGATGGCTGGTTCAGGCGGCGCTACCAGGGACATGAATTGCGATCGTTGCACAATCTGAGCTTGTCTGTGTCGTGGGTGACCGAGACATGACACGGCGCTGAACACCTACCACCTCGTAAGTCTGCGGCGCGACTTCTGACGCATGCGTGGCAATCCTGTTGCGTTGTTCGAATGCTCTTCGCGTTTCATGCTTGGACTGGTTGGTTGGCCAAGTCCCTGCTGCCGGTCGTGTTCGGGCCATGCAAGGGCAGTGGCGGCTGTCATGGCCGAGAGCCTCCGCGGGCGATGGGGGTCGGCACCCTTGGGGCAACAAACCAACTCTGCCGTCGGCATTTGGACGTGTGGGAGCAAACTCCATCGATGGATTTTTATATGTGTAGCGCCCGTGTACACATAACCAAACATGCTCGTCGTCCGCAGGCCCCATGCCTCGACAAATACGGTCATGCCGTGTGAAACTAACTACCCAAGCCAGCCGATGTGTCGCGAAGCTCTTTGGCTGGCTGTGTGGATGATGGGGGAGGGGGCGATGGTGTAGTTGGTTTCCCTCCCCCCCCCTGCCTCCTGGATGAAGCGGAATCTCGCGTCAGCTTGGCTGGATCCGGGTGACGATGCCTCCTGTGACAGCGTCGACTCAACCCAGCTACATTAGCAATGGTTTGTCGCAGGTCCAAGTGGCACTTACAAGCTTGCCCCTGATCCATTCACGCACACGCCAGGGTGCCGTCGCACGTGCCATGGGGCGACCTTTCGAGCCGACCATTGGGGGCTAGTGGCCGAGACAAGCCCCAGCAAGACTCGGCATCCCCTCCCCCCGATTTCGTAAGTCCACAACCTTCGTCAATGGAACGTGCACAACGACACACAACGCACAGCCGGCAATTCCAGCGTTCTTGCAGCCCCTTGGACGACGCCCCCGCGTCGTTGCATGGTCCCCAGCACATTGGCTCTGCCGTCCACCACGAACTTGACGGTTGGAGTCATATCCTTCTATAGAGGCATGCCCTGGCAGTGGCAAACTCGCGACCAATGCCATCATGACCGTGTGCGTACAGGTGGGTGATGGGAAGCTCCACATCGCGACGTCGACGCTTTTTGGCCAGCTGCATCCACTCGACACTCTTGCGGATCGTGTTCATGAACTCGTTGACAATCAATTCGTGCGTCAACGTGCGCAGCGTCGCGACAACCGGGCGCGCATATTTTTTAATCTATTTGCTTCTTAATTTTACTTCAAGTATATTTTCAAGGAAAAATATATACAATATATATGATAAATATAGAAATACACTAAAACCCAAGGACAAAAAATAGTACAGTGGCGTCATGTCCTGTGCTCCAGGTAGGGTGCAGGAAGACGTGGCGGGACCCGGCCGAACCCCTGTCGGCCAAGTACAAGTCGTTTTCTGTTGGGAGGAGCCGCGCAGACGGGGTAGTGCTCGCTGTTCGTCGTCGGCTAGCCCACGACCAACCGCTCGCAGTCTGCGCAACGTTGATGAACCTAGCCGCACTGCTGTGTCGAGTCGACACGGGGGTACGTGGGCTACTGTATAGCCCACGAGGCCCCGCAATGTCCGTTTGCCCAACCCTTTGCGCACGGGGTTTCAAAAGTGCACCACGTCACAATGGAGCTGCTTGATGAGGTGGAGCAACCAGTCGTGGAGAACCGGTGCGCAAACGCGTCTCGCACGGTGCAAGCGAATGCCGCCGACAAGACGCCCACTTCAACACGGAGCAGCTCAACGCCCTGGTCAGGTAAAGTATCCATCGACCCCATCTCGGCCTGGCCATGCATGCGTTGGAGCCCCAAACTGCTCCTTCCCCCTTGATGTCGTCCCCTTCGCGATAGGAAACGGGACTGTAGTCGCTGATTGTGGCATCGCCCCATCGATCGCACGCCCCACGAGCGGGGACAGGTTGCGCCGACCTCTCGATCATGGCATTGAGAACGACGTCCAGTGACGCGTGCCGTTGCCTTGACGGCATCGCCACGTTTGACCTGAACTGGTGTTGCCTGCGCACCCTTCGATGGCGGGGTAGCCGAGCTCGAGGGCGGCTCGATGGCTACAACCACTCGGCGCCGTGTGTGCGCAAGAACAAAGAGGACCTCCAAGTTTGCTACAAGCTCAAACAAGCGGCGGCTCGAGCCCGTGCCGATCCTTGCCAGTCGACAAAACTCGCGCCCCAATGTTTGGTACAGCGCACATTGCGTGTGCGCCTGCAAAATCGTGCGACATCGGACGGCGTGAGCAGGTCCGAGCTCCGGCTACGCCTCCTCGAGCACCCGTATGATCGAACTATCCCGCCTCTTTTTCACGCCGCTGGTGCGACCATGGAATAGGTTGGTCGTTGCTTGGGAAAACAAGTAGGGGTGGCGTGGTTGCGAGGCGTTGGGACAGCAACTTTTTGGCGTACCCGTGCGTGAATGACCACGTGGCGCATCCCCCCGAATCTTCTCACGATGCCGCGCCGTCTCGACGGATGCTTCCAGCCATTCTGCTGGTGGCATGTCCGAGTACAACGGCGATCCCGACGAGCGTCCGTACTCTACGTGACGATACGACTCGATGGCGACGACGGAATGTGGGAAAGGGTGTGGAATGGTCGTCGAGAGAAGGCGGCGGCGCCTCATCGAATCGATCCCAGCGCACTGGCTCACCACGTTGTCTGCGTCAACGTGCCATACGTGGCGGCTTCATTATTTCAACACATGCACTGTCGCGTTCAGAGGTCAAATGCGTACGACACGATGGCCGGACGAACGACGTCGTCGTCGTCGTCTTTGCCGCCATCATCGTGTTTCGATGCGTCGTCGGCGAGGTAGGCAGGCATGGTCTTGTCCGTCGGCATGCCACGTAGTCCTGTTGTCGATCATCTCGGTCCATGCACACGACGGCAGCACACTGACCTGCAAAATACGTGATTGTTCTCGTTGGGTTCGTGCCTCTGTCGTGGCCAGTTTGGGTCGTCCCGTCCGTGGGGAGCCACACTTGCTGGTCGGCGTCTTTGCGAAACGTACTCAGGGTGGTCTGCGCCGACACAGTTTTGTACTACACGAGGATGTACCCGTGAGGCCCATGCGCGAGGAGGCGCCGGGACCACACCGAGGCTTCCCAGCCACCCGTTTTCGAGCGCTGGCACGCACGTACATTTCGGAGATTGGCGATTTTGACGGCGCGCCGACGTAAGCTCCACTCGTTCCACTCGTAGTTGACGTCCATGTTTTTCTCGACAAAGTGGGTCGGTGTCGACGTGCCAGCGTCGACCTTTTGGACGGCGTGCGGCGCCAACAACGGATGCACGTGCGTGCGGTTGTTTGTCAGGCGCAGCAACGACGCCATCGACGTGTCCGGGAAGGTTTCCTGCAGGCCACCGATGAGACGTCGTGGGGCTGCAATATAGGTCACGGTGCTGCCCACCTGAAGCCGCAAGAGGTAGATGAGCTCTGGCTTGCGCACGACCATGTCGTGCACGATCCCGACAAATTGCGCCGGATCCACCATAAACTCTTCCAGCGCCCGTTCGTTGACAAACACGTGGTAGGCGTTGCGAAATTGAATCACCCCCAGCGACGGGTCTCCCGGAAGCAGCAAGCCTACGCATGTCCGTCACGATCGACGCATGGCTTCGAGCAGATCGGTCGCCCCCAGGGGACACGGCACTAGGCAGCCCTGCCTCACACAGGCACAACGAATCAACCAGGCCATGTACTTGCAAGAATGCACGCAGGACGCCCGCGACGGCGGCGCACACCCCTCGTCTCCCACACGAATACAAAACGTTACCGCCGCGACGAACGAGGGTCCATGGGCAGTACCCCTGGTACTCTAGCGGCAACTGCATAAACTCGGGCGTCGAGTCGACCGACATGCGGACGGGAACGTCGTCGTTGGCACCCGTAGCGCCGCCTTCATCCCCACCTACGTTCCGTTTCGTGGTTGGACCATGGTGGGGGCGGCGATCGTGGGGATTTGTACTGGCATGTTTGGCGCCACCGGACGCCAACGACGATGACGGCGGCGCAAACTTTGGTTGGTTGTCGAGCTCGGTCGCTTGGTCGAACCAGTGGTCTTGCGACGGCATGCCGGCCTTTTTTGCCTTTAGAATCCACTCGGACTGCGGCGAGAGCGTTCGCGTGAACGAGTCCTTGAATTGCATCAGCCTACAACAACCGCAGTGAATGCTTGCCTCGGCACAGGGCCACACGCAGGAGATAGGACAACGCTAGTCTCTAGCGCGTGCAAAGCGCTGGCGCGGTAGTACTCGAGCACCGTCCACGGGGCACACACATTTTGACCACACCATGCGACGACTTGCGCGTTGAAACAACACGTCGAAAGATACGTACGCCTTGACCGAGCGCGAGCGAGCGAGAAGGAGCTGGTGCTCCGCGTCCAAGTCTTCCCACGCCTTCGACAGGGCTTCAAACACTGGGTACACTTGTCCTTTGGGCAGCGACGTGCGGGCGCCGACGAGCGCTTTGAGTGTGTTGAGTTCGTTGTCGTACGTGGCCATGATGCGGCTGATCTTGTCGACGCACACGTCAATGTCTTCGTACAAGCTTTGCAAGTACGACAGGAACTGGCGCTTGTTGTTGAGCTCTTCTTGCCATCTACGGAGGCCGTGAGGTCGCTCACCACGCACGCCACGGTACCGTTCAAGTCGCTCGGCCGTCACGCTGTCCTTGGCGTTGTAATGGTGGAGGTGCAGCAGCACCTCCGTGTACTCGGTCGCGGCAACGTTGGCTTCTTCGACTTCCTCGGCCGCGAGCTTGGACACGTTTGTCACGTTGTTTCGAATGGTATCTAGGCACGTCGCCATGGGCAAGAGCCTCCGTCAGGATGGAGCTCGTACCCAGCGTCAACCCAATGCCCGCGCCGCCCTTGCCAATTTCCTTGTTGAACAAGCGGATGCCGCCCACGATGCTCGCGAGTTCCTTGAGTTGGAACTTTTTGTCGTCGGCAGACATGGACACAAACGACTTCAATCTACCATGGGCGCGAGCGAGCGATGGTTGAGACGACGTGGCGGCCGACGGATGGAAGTGTACCCAATGCGCGGAAACACGCTCTCCAACGCGGCCGCGACCTCGCGCTCGACGTTGCGATCGCCCGTCTTGTCCGCGTCAGCATGCACCATGAGGAGGGTAAAAATCTATGGGATGCCAACACGGCATGGGGCGTGAGTTGCTATACTGCGCAGCGGCGCCCCCTGCATGTCGGGACGGGGGGCGGGTAGAACGTTGTACCTGTCGATACAACGTCGTGAGGGTGTCAAAGTCGCCCGTTCCGTTGGGCTGCAACAACACGATGGACCGATGGAGCGCCGCGATCTTCTTTTGCTTTGCCGCCCGACCTTTCTCGACTTCCTCCTGCAGCGATACATGCAACGGTCACGCGGCGGCCACCAGCGCTGGAGCATTTGTACCTCATGTTTGACATAGCACAAGTCAAAGTCCAACTGCATCTTGATCGTTTCCAACGACGGACTGTCCTTTTGTAGGAGACGGGTCACACTTGCGTGCGTTAGCGCCGCGAGCCCGTCGGCGTCGACGTCGCCATCCAAACAAAACCGGTTTGCATCGTCTTGAACGACCTGCATCGACACACGGATGAACAACACACAAACGACACGGCATTTTTTGTACCGTGCGACAAATGAACGCTGCCAACGTATCCGACACGGCCACGCCTTCGTACTTGCACCGAGCGACCACATCGGCCACGAGCTTTGGAATGCGCTCCATCGCGGCTCCGAGTCGAAGCCCACTGCTCTCCAAGTGTGCACCGGCGCCGTTTCATTGGCGGTTTCATTGGCGGTTTCACCCTGCCCGTTCAAAGTACTTGCACCAGGCGCGTACATCGGCCACGACCTGTGCCATGCGCTCCATCGTTGCCCGAACGGACGTTGTGTCCACTGCTTTTCGTCATTGCCCGAGTCGACGTCGAACGCACGTGCCCACTGCTCTCGACATGGCCAACGGGCAGGACCAAGCGGTCGTGTCAATGTAGCGGTTTCACTAGCGGTTACAATGCGTTGTAGATCCGACGGCCACCGACGTTGCCAAGATGCTTGTGAGGGAGGGAGCAGAGGGCAGCATGTGCAAACCGATGCATGCTCGTGTGTGTGTGCGATCTCCGTGCATGAGAGCATGGAGGCCACGTCATCCTGTTGGGCCATAAAACGACACGTGTCTCGCGGCGACACTCATGACGAAAGACGGGTACGAATGATGTCGTTGAGATGCCGTGGTTGTCCTCCACAAAAGTGTGTGTGTGCGGTGTGTTGTTGTTAGGGTATTCGCAGGGCACGGGCAGCGATTTGGACAAGGACGCGCTCGACGTCGTCGAGGCGTTGCATGGTAGTGGCAACCTCTCGCTCGTGCTTCATGAACGGCGCGGCGCCCTATTCATTCGTTTCAACGGGAACAAAAGGACCGTCGGGTGTACCACCGATGCATCGCATCTCGTGGGCGCGTCCCGCGTGCGTCGGGGTGGTCGGGCTTTCTTGGGTTTCTGTGACGCATGGCGCCGTGCCTAGCAACGTGAGCATCTCGGCGAACCACGTCAGGTAGACATCGAGGACATACTTTGGTGTGTGCTTGGATGGTTTGGATCTCGACGGCTTGGACTTGGAGCCGTCGCAGGCGTTCGTTTTGTTGGCGCACGAGTTTTGCGGTCGCGGCTGCTTTTTCCCGTTTGCGCTGCTTTTTCTTTTGCGCGAGCCATAAACGGTACTGCGAATCGCTGTCGGCTTGCCGCTTCGCTTTATCGACCACCACCAACGCAGTGTGCTGCTGGTGTCGTTTCTGATGGAGGCGCTGCTTCTGTCGCAGCCATGCCTGGACTTTGACTTCGCTTGTGGTTCGGGAAGGAGACGCGTCGCCATCATGATGCTGGTGTAGAGGCGGCCAGTGCTCCTGTCCTGTTTCAGGCGTGGCGTGAAGATTGCCAGGAACGAGAGCGTCCTCGTCGACAACCTCCATGCTGTCTGGCATCTCGCCCCACGACAGGAGTGTGGTGGGATCGACGTCTCCGTGCGATGACCTCGGTGGGGTGACTGGAGGCAGTGGCGGCAAAGCCACTGGCGCCGTGTCGTCGTTTGACGTGGTTGTATTCGTTGGGTCAGTGGTTGCTGCCGGTGAAAGAATGGTCGGTAGCTCGCAGGGTTGTGTCACGGACAGTCCCGTGTTCGCATGGAAATGGGTGGCTGTGATGCGTTTGGCGGGCCGATGAAGCGGTTGTTCGTGGACCGGAGGAGGGGTTGCAGCGTTGACATGGGGATGGGTTCGTAGATGAGAGTTCTTCCTCCCATGTTTCGACCGATGCTTCGCCGGGTTTGCGACGACGGCTGCGGCCTGAGTGACCTGGATCTGTACTTGGCGAAGGAACTCGTCGTCGTCATCGTCTTTGTCCATAAGCAACACGTCGTCTTCGTCGTCGGGCGCTGAATGGTCCATGGCCAAGTCGACCGTCGGGGCATTCGACAAAGGACCGCATACCCCTGGCTGTGCCTTCGATGCATCCAGGGACGGGAAGTGTTGGTTGAGCGCATGCACCAACGACTGGTCGAATTCGCATTCGTCGTCGTTCCGTTGTGCCATGCATGATTGACGTGTGTTACTTCGACTGCGTGCTGCCTCGGGGAAGAGTGTGTCGGTGGCGGGGTAGTCGAGCCGTGGCAACACCCTCACGTCGTCCATGGTGGCACTTGACGCGGGCTGTGGTGGCTGGCATGAAAACGACGTGTCGGTGGGGCGGTGGCATCGCCTCGACGACGTCCCTTGCGTCGAATCGCTTGCGCTGTGACCTCGTTCCATCGTTGCGTTGGCATGCCCGTTGGGACACATGTGAAACAGTTGTAACTGGCGCGGTAACCAGTCAAGTGACCGAGAATATCTTAATTTATTAATTTCTCCATAATTCTCTCTATTTTTATAAATACTTTTACTTTTATTATTAAATACAATGGTCGAGGAGCCGGGTGAAGTGGACGACAAGGCTGCCTCTGCATCCTGGCGAGACGAGGTGCTTCACACACAGCACCACCTTGTTCTGTGGCTTGCCTGTCGGAGGAAAGCCTTCTGTCAACGTCATCTGCGGCGGCGAACACCCGACATCTTGCACGTTGTTGACTCATAAGTAAACGCAAGGGATCCATGACATTCGATAGCGTTTCTTGTCAGCCGTGTGGCTTGGCAGCGCATTTTGAAACCTCCTCCACGCATGGTTGTAAACTGCAGAATCATCCTCATTACCGCCATCTCGGTGCACCAGCGCGTCCGTCGCCGTGAGAGATCGCCTAAACATGGCCAACACGCAAGCTTCCCAGAGAATTGTCGGCGCGAGTTTGCAAACGCTTCGACGAGGGATGGTGGCACGTGGTGAGTTGATCTTATGAAACAGCGACCACGTGCTTCCAGGAATATCGTTGGAGAGTTGCTGAGGTGGCCGTGAGGCTGTGTTTGGTGCCGCCATGGTCGTGGACGTCGTGGCGGCGCTTACAGTGACTGTCAACAACCTGACAGCGTGGCAAACACAGTTGATGGAGCACCAAATCGTCGATCTCGACCTCCATGTCCCCGGAAAGCATTTCACAGGGTTTGCTCGTAGGAGTAGTGAGAGTGATCCACACCCACCGTAGGCATGGGCGCTCAGGCGGCGATGGCGTCGTTCCGTTTCGCGTGGATGTGGGTGGAATGCCTCAGGGCGTTTGCTATTCCAACCTCCTGGTAGTACTACTATCTTTGCAGATAGTAGTATTATCCTTGCACCGGCAATTCGTGCAACAACGTACTAATTCAGTTTAGTACTACTATCCATGGCCGCACCAACAAAAGGCGAACTCGGAGCGACAACGGTGGCCGGCGACCACACCAAGCGACGCTGAACGAGACTCGATGGGCGATGTTGACATGGTTGGCGATCGGCCCGACGGGTCTCTCTCGCCGCAGCAACGAGCCATGTCCAGCCACGACCGCGGGCATGGCGAGAATGGTACAGTGGCTGAGTACTGGAAGCAGGTAGAGCGGATGTCCAATGCGACCGAAAAAACTCCCCGTGTGCGATGTCGGTAGCATGGAGCGCTCAAGGCGTCGTATCAGGATGAAATCAACGCAATGTACAACGCGTTCCGAGCACGCATATCCCAGGACTCGTCGGTCGACGACGCGATCGCGGCCGAGAAGCGGCAGGTTGAATTCGACATGGAATCTGTCACGTTTTGCAAAGTTGTGCTGGACGAATCGGCCAGTACCCAAAGCACACCTCGAACATGGGACGACCTCGCGCGTGTGCGAAAGTATATTCAAATGGTGGTGGTGCCGTACATGGCAAAGATGGCCCCGCCGGTTGTGGCGCCGTCCGACCCAGCGCCGGCATCGGACATTCAAACCAACGTCCACGTGGCATGGGCCGGCCGACGACACAACTCATCGCGGGGTGGCCGACCAGCGATCGATCGCTCCGTCGGCGGTGTGCCAGCCAGCTACATGAATCACGCGTCAGCAGCACCGTCGGCGGCAAGCTCTCCCGTCGCAACTTCGTCCCAAGTGTCGATACAATCCGAGGATGTCGAGGCGTCGTCGGGTGGAGAAAACAACGCGAACGCGGTTGAGTACTGGCGCCAGGTACGTCATGTGGCACTTTGATGGGCACCAGCGCCGCGGCCGAGCCATGTGTGAATGGAGGGCATGCTTGCGAGTGGTTTACGCAACTCGTGTCGGCGTTGTGATGACGATGTTTCACGTCTAGCCGGGGCGTCTTGCATGATGCGAGTGCATGGTTCTTGAATGGATGGTGGGCAATTCATCGTTGCCGTGAGTCCCCACGATTTTTAGTCGAGATGGAACGACTTTAGCATGGGGCTGCCTACCTCATCGATGCCATAGCACGCCGCGCTCAAAGCCGCGCATTACGAAACATGCAAGGTCGTCTACCACGCGTTCCAGCACTTTCTCGTGACGTCGTCGGCCGACCAGGATGCTTCCCAACGCCAGAAGCTCACGTACTTGCTGGGATTCGTCGAGTTTTGCTGCCATGTCCTGAGCGAGTCGAGCGCGACGCACCCGGCGAGACCGATCTCGGATTTGAAACGAGTCGTCAAGTCAGTGAACAAGATTATGTTGCCGTATCGGCACAAAATTGGGATGGCCGAGAAGGCAGCCCATGCGACAGCCCATGGCAGTCTACAAGTCGACGGCGGGGCCATCCATGAAGCACCGACGATAATGATGGCGGCGGCAACGAAATCCCCCATGTCCATCGCGTCCACATCGTCGACTGCATCTCGGACGACCGTCCTGCCGTCCGTCCAAAATCTCTTGCAGCGTTCCTCGACCCGCGACAACGCGCCGGGAACGACCTACGCACAGCTCGACAGGAGGACGGATCCCGCGGCCGACCAGTACTGGCACCACGTACGTCGCGAAAGCCTCGATGGGTCTAGAATGCGCGCTTGATTCGCCCTCACGACGCTGTGTGGTCGCAGAAATCGCAGCTCGAAGCGACGTACTTGAGGCAAGTGATGGCGGCCCAAACGTTTTTCGACGCTTATCGTCACAAATTTGCCACACAACGCTCCCAGGTACAACATGAATCTGCACCATCGACACCAGGGTTCACGCATGCGGCGGTCGGGCGATGGGTTTGGTTGCCAGGAGGCATCGTGCGGGCATGGCTGCCGCTCGAATGGCTGGGCAGCGCGATGCTGCCGGGATGCTCCGACCTCGTTCCCCGCCACGATGTTGGTTTTTCTTGCGTGTTGTCGATCTGTCGATAGTCAACTCGTTCTCATCGGTTTGTTCGGCTGCCATGACAACAGGAGCACCTTCAAGACGTGGTGCATTTGTGCGACTACGCCGACTACTGCCGCCAGGTCCTGTCCGAGGACCGGCAGGCGGCGTCCCAGCGTTCGCTGCAAGAGCTTCACGTGGTCCATTCGTACATCACGGCGTTGGTCTTGCCACATTTGGCGTCGTTGCAGGCGCTGGTCGACCGCGACAATAGCACGGCGCCTGCGATTCCCCCGACCGACGACTGCCACCGCATGTCCAGGTTACATCAACACACGGACTCGTTCTTGCAAGCGATGGACCAGCCGAAGCCGGCAGTGGACAAGGAAGGGTCGCGCGGTTCGTCCGGGGCTGTTGTGGGAATGTCCGATCCAGCATCGACGTACTGGCGCAAGGTTCGTGCCAGCTTTCCTCTTGCCTTTGCGTCTTGCGCGTTGGGTTGGCGCGTGGATTCGCTGCGTGTGTGTGATGGCTTGGAATATCGCTGACACCTGCGCTTCATAGCATGCGGCCCTTCGAGAACTCTATCGAGACAACGTGATGCTAGTCCAAGCTGCTTTTCAAAAGTACGCCGCCGAATTCGCCCATGCAAAGTCGGCAGCAGAGGTAGATTGGTCGCCGTGGTTGCAAACGTGCGTGTGCCTCATGCATCGTCATAGGCGAGAAAGCTCACGCGCTTGTACGACATGCTCGAACATGTCGAGTTTAGCGCTAAAGTCTTCAACGAGCTGCCGGGGAAGGACGCGCCGCGAGACCTGGACACCCTCGACATCGTCCATCGCTGTATCATGCAAATTGTGAGCCCGTATTGCCAGCATGTCGAAGCGGAAGCCAGATCATGAACAAAAGAGTCACGGTTAGGACAAACACAGAGTAACAGCGCAAGCTTGAGACATGCCAGCGCCGTCGCTGCATCGTCCGATGTGTCATGCATGACATACAAAACACAGCGAGTTGATCACCCTACTGAGATATCTCCCTGGTGTTGGCATAGCCCCCCGCGTTGAACTCTCGCGACGTCGAAGCATTACAGCCAAGGAGGCGGGAAATTTCGTCGTGCAGTGCGCACAGCCATCGTCTTCTATATCACACGCGTTTCCGCAGGGGGTGCATGCAACCGAGAGAGATCCATGTGCGCATCAAGTGTTTCATCGCCCGATTCTCTCTGGGCTATACTGTACACGCTCGCATGACGACGTGTTCAGGCCTTCGCTCCCTTCTTCCTGCCGCTGGTTTTTAAACGTCGCGCGGTCTATTGAAACGTTTAATGATTGGCTAGATTACAGTATTTATCAGATTTAGATTGGCTATATTATTTCGTTTTTATCCAATCAAATAAGAGAACCAACGGCGCAATCCGCCGTTGAATCATCAAGAGTATGACGGCGTACGTGCCGCCAGAGTGGGCGGCGAATGGGTCGAACCGGCATGGCTTGTCGGTGGAAGTCATCAAGGGAGGCATCATCGTGGAAAAGTTGGCGCTGGATACGTCCGTCAAGCCGTTCCTTGTCGCAGGTATGTCCGCCCGACGACGGTGCCCATGCTGACACAGCGGTACTGTGGTTCCAGGGCGCATGGAGCCTCTGTGCGACATCGTGCTGCAGCATCCTTCTGTATCCCGCACGCACGCAGCCCTTCAATTCGACTCGAAAGGTTCGTGCTCTCGTTTCCATCGTCCAAGATCGTGACCGCGCACAGGACACCTCTTTGTGGTGGACTTGGGCAGTACCCACGGCACGTTCGTCAACAAGCGGCGCATTCCCGCCACCGATCCCGTCGAGCTGCATGTCGGGGACGTTGTTGTGTTTGGCGAGTCCACACGTATCTACACAATCCTGGGACCGCATGACCTCATGCCCGAAGAATACTCGTGCGTACTACAGGATCCCTCGCTATGTCAATGTCAACACTGCCTTGTAGATCCGACAACCTGGCAAAGCTGCGAGCCAAGGTACGTCTCAGCTGCATTCGAATCCAAGTGAATGTGTGGTCGCTGGGGTGGTTGGCGTCCGCACGGTTGATGGCGATGCGTTTCCAAGGGCGGCATGCGCATGTCATCGTGGGTTGCATGGAATTTTGCCCGGGGTGCATGTGCTGCCGGCGCTACCTTCGTCGCAACCGTCGAGGAGCAGACTTGCGATGCTCTGCTCTTTAAACCCCGTCTGTGTCGATGGATGTTTGACTTGTGATGTCGACCGCGTAGTTGGAAGCTCGACATGCACGCCGCTCTCTTCAGAAAAAGAAGGAAGCCGAGGAAGCGGATCATGGAGCGACGTGGGGGTTCCGAGAAGATGCTGTTGAGGAAAGCGACAGCAGCGACGACGAAGCAGCGCCGGCCACGAGCAAGCCCAACGTCGTCCCGCTGCCCGATTACTTGCGCCACGTACGTGGCATAGCATTCGACTTCTTGTTTTCCAACGGGTGGCTGGCACGACACAGCGCAAAGCCGACGTGTCCGGGCCGTACGTGTCGAACGTGACCAAGGACAGCGTGAACTTGACGAAAGATGCCAAGTTGTATACGCGCCTGCAGAACCGCATTCAAAAGCTCGAGAACGTCAAGCTCGAGAGCCAACGCATCCGAGCCAAACAGAACGTCGGGCTCACGGAGGGCCAGGAAGCTGCGCTCGGTACGTCGTCCAGGCCATTCCAGTGGAACCCGCCTGCCTCTCACATTCGACATGGCAACGGGATCGATGAACATGTCGTGCTCACGGCCTTGTGTGTGTTGACGTAGCGCGCAACGAAACGCGGATCCAAGAACTGCACGACGAAATCGAAACCCTCGAGGCGCAATTGCTGGCCAAACACACGCAGCGAACGGCGCAAAAGGACGTTGCAGGTGCGTCGACGACTCGTTGGCTCGACCCGTGGTCGACGCGGATCGTCGTGCCTCATGGCATGGCATTAGCCAAGATGACGGCCGCGAAAGCGAACGCCTCCGTGTACGCTAGCGACGACGATGACTTTTTCGACCGCACCAAAGCCAACCGCGCCCCGGCCAAGCACAAGGCGCACGGAGGCCAAGTGCTGACGTACGCATCGATCGCGGCCACGTTGGCGGGACTTCGCGCCGATCTAAAGCTCCTGGAAGCGACACTTCCCGCATCGACCAACACGCCCAGGTAGATGCTGAAATGGTGTGTGATGTCGAGGCGGCAGAGGGGTGCGGGCTTGTCGAGGCCGTTATGTGGCATCACTGGCATTGCGATCGACGGACTGATGCGTGTGTGGTAGCGCCCCGACGGACGATCGGGACGACGTCGACAGCTTGGACAAGTACATGATGGCGTCGGCGCGGTCGTTGGTCGAGGAGGACGCCGCCAAGGCCGAAGCGGGTCGCACGGAGTTACGGCAGAGGATCCGCGAGATGGAATCGCTCCTCGAGGTCGCGACGCCCGCGTGGGCAAAGCTCGTGGCTCCCGCTGCTCGCGACAACGCTTCCAACTCGACATTCTTGTACGTGTGCACGATTATTGCCCGGCATGCGGATGCACGACGAGTGCAAACGTTGGCAGCGCTGCTGCTCTGTCGTCTGACGCGATCGTGATGCAGAGACCCGCCGCCATCGACCTCTTTGGCCCAAGTCACGCCGAACGCCGTCGAGCCGTTGATGGCCACCAACTCGCCAGACCAACATGTTATGACCGAGCCCTCCGACGACGCCCCGCAACCATTCGAATCTGCCCTGGATGTGTCGTCGCGGCCGCTGACGACGGACGACGTCGCCGGCGGCTCTGCCAAGCACGGCCGTGATGACCCAGAGGCAACGGAAGCGCCGCGACCGAAACGCGTCCGCCTCCGTCGAAAGGACGTCGCGACCAAGCCCCCCGCTGGGACCACAAGCGTATTCGACAGCACCATCCTGGAAGGCGGCGACGTCGTATGGCAGCCCCCCACGAACCAAACAGGCGATGGCCGCACCGCGCTCAACGATAAATACGGCTATTGATGTACTTGCAACGGAAAACGCACATTGTGGAAGGGCAGAGAGCGCGGTCGCATCGTGTCGAGGCAGCTGGCCCCCAACGAAGCACAAAGATCATCGTGCTTCCAACCACCTGCGCCCCAAGCGGCAAGTGGTCAGTATTCGTCCAGCAGCGGGTGGTGCATATGGTCCGCCGGGGACGCGCACGGCGCCACGGGATCGAACACAGCTGACTTGCATGTCCCACGTGTGTGGCGGTGGCGCCACGTGGCGCGGAAATGAATCTTCGTCTGTTGGCGACAGACTGCTCGAGCGGCTGGAGTGGACGACTGCGGGACGCCATCCGAAGCTATTGGGTACGAGCGGCTGCAGCGCCACGTCGTGCCGACGCAGCCCCAGCGCCGGCATGGAGCCGTCGACCACAAGTGGCGAGCGCCACGGACGGCGAGCGCGAATCGTTCGTGCTAGAGGGATCGCCCACGCACCGAGGCTCGATGGCAGCGCGGTGGCTCCGCCAGCAAAGCCCACTGCCCGGTGCAAACTTCAACCTGATGCAGACGGACTTTTCTGGAGAGGCAAACATGTGGTAGAAGCTTGCAGTACTAAATTCAACAGGGTATTATCGTTTACAGTACCTGTGAGACCACATGCCTTGGCTTGGACGAGTGGCGTACCCCGTGCACGCACTGCAGAGGTCGCGTCCTCTCGTCAAGTTCTTCGACATGAAAGCAATACCGTCCGTCGTAGAACCTTGAATGCCCCCGGCCGATGTTGCAACGCTTCCACCCCGCCCTCCGTCGCGTTCGCATTTGGAGGACTGTATTTACGAGAGCAAGGTTGGGGGCATCCATCGGTGCGATTGGCAGGTACCGCTTCGGTGGGACGCTGGTGCGAGCACTCGGGATCACGAAGACGCAAGCAGCGATTCGTACGCGACCGCCTTTCGCGTGGAACCAAGACATTTCTCGGAAGAATATGAAGTTTAAGAGGTTATTTTACATGGCAGGTATCGGCTGGTTCCAACGAACCTGGTCAAGATTCCACGAGGCTTCTTGTAGCTCGTGGGGATGGGACGATTTATTTTATCGCTTGGTTTCAGTATGGGGTGGAATAAAAATCGATCGAAAACGTCCACTGCGCGCCCCAGCCACGGCAACTTTGCCGACGCACCACGACGCCGTCGACGGCCATTTCCGATATTCCCATGACGACGGTGAAGACCCCCACTTCGTTGCATGACTCGAACACGCTTCTCCAGCTCTCCATGAGCTGGCAGCAGTCGCCGCCGATGGCGATCCCGACGCTTGCGACTCGCCGCGCCACGACCTCAGCGGCCTTTCACCCTGAAGATGCACAAACCACACCCCAACTGTCGTTTGAAGCACGCGAAGGCCAAATGCTCGTCCAAGCGTACGCTGCAAACGCACGGATAGGCGCTGACTTCCCAGGACACGACGACGACCAACACACCGCCGCGGCCGCACCACACCACGAACATGAAAACGTCACAACACCGCGACCGTCGCTTCTGTCGGCCGACATGGATGCTGATGGGTCGAGCCTCCCTGATGACGAACAAGACGTGTTCTCGTTGGAACTGTAGCCGACGTACTGGACCCCCTGCCTTGCATCAGTGTGGATGTCCGTCGGCGTTTCGTGTTTGTTGCGTGGGAATGCGTCGGTTGTCGCGGCTGTGCCTCGCTGGTAGGGCACAACTTGGTAGCTTCTCGGACAATTTTGAACCCACGAATCTATTTATCCTTTGTGGATGTGGTGCTGCGTCACAGTCATGATCTTGTCGAACGGATTTCGTCTTCATGGAGCCCAAATCCTTGCCACTCACCCCGTTCGTAATGTCCTCGGCATGTCGTTGCGATCGGCACAGGACAACTACACAAGAAATCGCCAGACGCCTTTACCATCATCAAAGCGTCGTCTTGCGCATGGTGGTGATGGCGATGCCGACGACGTGCGCTCGGCCTTCCTGACGACGTTATCCCAAACATGGCACACCACTTCAACTCGTCCTTAATTACCTTGAGCAAGTGCAACGATTTGTCATGCCTTCAACGTTTCTAGAATCATCCAGCGGAGAACTTATATAACCTCAGAGTATGTATCACTTCTGGTAAACATTCAATTCACCAAAATTAGCACCGATTGGCAAATTTACCTATTTATGAAAGGACACGCACTCATCTAAGGTAATTTGGTTTTGACGTGTGTCTGCTTTGAGGGTAATGTGCTGAGCGACTCTGACTTGTCCGCTTGGTGCAGGTGTCGCTGGTACTCTGCCATGATGAAGGGCGAGCTACCGATATTGCGGCATGCCCTACTGGCCTCGGACTCGGCACAGACACGTAGGCAATGCTCGACCTGCTAGTTTGGACGAGCTACAAGAGGTTCTACATCCAATCATCCAGTCACTTGATGCGAGTGCACACCAGGTTCGCACGCGGGAGAGCACGTAAAGAGAGGTGTAAATGCCAGCGAGCAACGCCCCGTTGATCAACGCGACGACCATGCGCACCGTGCGCGGGCATGTTCCTCGACGACCCCTTCACTGAACCGTTGACGTGATTGTGTCGGAGAATTCGCACAAAACAACGCGCTAGTGTGCCTGTCGTGACGAAGTTGGCCACGCACTGGATGCACTTCCTGCACATAGATCGTCCAGCGTAAGCGTCTTGTGGGGTTTGAGCGAATCATGCCATTTTCGCGTGAATTCAAAACAAAGTGGCCAGAGACTGCGCAAGGATTGGCTTCATGAAATTTACCTGGTCGAGGAAGAACGACAGTCGTGATACCCTATTGCCAAGCGTTGCTGAACGCCTACCAAGTGTCTTGTAGTTGAATTCAAGCAACACCATAGCCAGGGCCATCAGGCATTGGTGGCGTACACTGCTCTGCCATCATTAGGATCGAAATCCCGCTTCTCCCGCATCGTCAATGCCGGCAACAGACTGGTGAGTGCCTGCTCGACGCATGCTGCCAATCGATTTGCCATCATACGTATGGGCTGGTTGGGCGAATTTTAGCAAGCTGCCCGCGACCAGCTAGAATGCCATTGCTGAGCTACCTCGCCACTCCTCAATGGTTGTCAATATGTTGCCACGGCGATGCTAACTCTGTTTTTTCACGGCCGAACGGGGCAAGTGGAGGTCGTGCCATGGCCACACTACGTCATGCATCTCCAGGCGAATCGGAGCGGCGAGGGGGCCACCACATCTCCTGTGCATGGATTGATGCAAGGTCGTCAAAATGCTAGGCACACGGAAGCATGTGGAAAACCGTGCCCATTGTCGCCGATTCAACCGCAAACAGGGTACACTCGATCGTGGCAAGGTTGGATTTATGCTAAAGCAATGTCATGAACACTTGATCGCTGTTGGTCACGATGGCCGGGTACCGCGCTTCGTCCGTCACATGCTCGTACTCGATACCAATGTCTTGACCGTTCTTTTGGAACACAATCGTGTGGTTGGCGCGGTGGTGTGTAATGGTCAACTCGTCGCCATCGCAAAAAGGATGGCTTGTATCATCGCCCGTGACGCCGTCGTCAGCACGAAGGATCTGACAGAACCGGCCGCGCGTGCTGCCATTTGGGACAAAGCGATCCTTCTTGCAGTAGCCTATCCACAGTTCGCCGCCGCGTCCCAATTTGTCCAAACGCACGCGAAATCGCGACGCTGGTTGGGATGCGAGCACGCAATTCCATTGATCCGAATCGAGGATACATGTTTCCATCGTCTGTTTCTTGTTGGAGAGGAGGATGAGGTCGCCGCAGCGGTTGGTGTCCCAAACCAGGTGTTCGTTGACCTTGCGCGATGGTGAGTCGACCGACATTGTTGCCTCGGCCACTTTTCGTTTCTTCAGGTCCGGTTCGCTCGCGTCGGGTATCTGTGCAGCGTCGCCTCTGTTGCATTCGTTGGTGGGTTCTGGCGCGTTGGTTGGGGTCGGGCTCGCGTCGTCACCCGTGGTCTCTCGTGCCCGTTGCGGAGATGCCATCGCAAATTTCAAATTTTGCGACACGCCCAATGAATGCGCCTTGATTGGTTGTTTGGCGTCGTTATTTTAACCAATCCAAATGCGTGATGCACCTGGTGAAATACGTTTAAACGTGTTCTATCAGCGAATAAAACGCTCCATTCGCATACTGCGGCGTGTCGGTACCCGTCTTTAAATCAATATTGTTACGATTTATTTTATTTTTGCCCTTCTCTCTGCCTTCTTGTATGAAAAAAATAAAAATGATGAAAACGACTATTATTCCCGATCCATCATCCGGCTTCAATTTGTAAACAATCCATGGGAAATATGACAAATCTTGGCCACATTTCGAAACGTGCCGCCGAGACGATGCAATCTGCCGCGAAGACGTTCGCCCGCCGCTTCAGCACCTCCCTTTCTCCCCGGGTACATGCTGTATGCGTGGAAGTGGTCGAGTGACTGAGCGCAACCTAGGATGTCGTTATCGTGAGTTACGCGCGTACTCCCATCGCGACGTTTAACGGTGCTTTTGCGTCGCTCACTGCGCCGGAACTTGGCGCGATTGCCAACAAAGCTGCGATTGAGCGCGCGGGGATCTCTGTGGATGAAATCCAAGAAGCGTACTTGGGGAATGTCGTGTCCGCTGCCATTGGCCAAGCCCCGGCTCGCCAATCTGTGCTCAAAGCTGGTACGACATGTTTTCTGAGGCGAACTCGACCGACTGATGTGGGACAATTATGTAGGTATCCCTGACTCGGTGCCTTGCACGACCATTAACAAAGTGTGCGCGTCCGGCATGAAGTCCGTTGCCATGGCGGCACAAAGCATCCTCGCCGGTAGCCAAGATGCCATGCTTGCCGGTGGATTCGAAAGCATGTCCAACATTCCGTATTACTTGCCCAAGGCTCGCACGGGTTACCGCTTGGGTGATGGAAAGGTACATGCATGCTATCGTACGGCCTCGAGGACGTTCTCACGCGCGTCCGTCCAGTTGGTTGATGGGGTGATCCACGATGGTCTATGGGACCCGTACAACAACCAGCACATGGTATAGCATCTCCCTCAACAGCAAGAAATCCACCTCATGCGTTGTATCAAGGGATTATGCGGTGAAAAGTGCGCTGAAGAATACGGCATTACGCGCGAAGACCAGGACAAGTACGCGATCGAAAGCTACACCCGCGCTGCCAATGCTGCCAAGGTGATGACCGACCTGTCGCAGTCTGCATGGGCAGCCTGTCCTTCATGGAGCAATTTTCCTAGGCCGGCAAGTTTGCCGCCGAAATCACGCCCGTAACGATTGCCCAGCGTAAGGGCGACCCGAAGGTTGTCACCGACGACGAAGAAATTTACAACGTCAAGGTTGACAAAATCCCGTCGCTTCGCGCGGCGTTCAAGAAAGACGGTACGGTCACCGCCGCCAACGCTTCGTCGTTGAACGATGGCGCTGCTTCCTTGGTACGTCCTCCTCACTGCGTGTGAGGATGTGTGTACTTTGGTGTCATGCGGGTGCGATGCGCGAGAGCTGCTGCTTCTTCGAGTGCTGCGGCGATGAGCGTGTGTGCTTTTGCGTGATCTTAGCGATCCCCGTGCTTTGCAGTCGTCAGCAGTATTCGAGTTGTTGGCCATCCTCGTGCAGTTCTAGTCTGCTTTTGTCCATCCGCTCACAAAAATCCTCACTGCGCTGCAGCTTTCTACGTGTGCGCATGTTGCCGCATCGGACGCTCCATGACGCATCCGCCGCTCAAGATTTTGACCTGTCTGTAGGTGTTGATGTCGGCTGAAAAGGCGAAATCGCTCGGACTCAAGCCGCTTGCTCGCATCTTGGGCTTCGGCGATGCTGCCCACAAACCCGTCGACTTTACGACGGCACCTGCCAAGGCCGTACCGATCGCCGCCAAGCACGCCAAGTTGAACGTCAAGGACATTGAGTACCACGAAATCAACGAAGCGTTCTCGGTTGTCGCCCTCGTCAACATGCACCTCATGAACTTGGACCACAGCCGCGTGAACGTAAACGGCGGTGCCGTCGCCCTCGGTCACCCCATCGGGATGAGCGGTGCGCGCATTGTCGGCACACTCATCCACGTGCTGGAGCAGAACGATGCTACGATTGGCGCTGCGTCCATCTGCAACGGCGGCGGCGGCGCTGGCGCCTTGATCCTCGAGCGATTGTAACTCAACAAATGAACAGGTCATGTCCAAAGTTCGAGCATCCAACACCACCTCGAATATGCTCTCGTCGAGTGTCGTTCGTCGGTGGCATGGTCCTGCAGATCACTGAAACGGATGGACGAGACGAAGGGGTGCATGAGCCTTGCAATGGCGGCGTGCGAAATGTGGGATTCACTGTCTGTGTGCCTTTTGTGCACATTTCGTGTCGCACAAGGGCCACCGACGTGCAGGTGGACAAATCCTGGCATGCGACCTCCATCCTCGAGCGCTGGAAAGTATGGCGCGGCCGTGACCAAGTGCGTTTGTCTTAGCGCAAACGTATGCGCGTAGTCGTGCGTGGAGGCCACGAGTGGTTGAAGCCTCCTCGCCAACCACCCCACCGATATTGACGTGGCCGACCGTCGCAGGCATGCCTGGTTTCTTCCGCCGGTCGCTCCGTTTTCAACAGCATGGAGCCGATTCTTTTGTCCAGCAACGGCCCGCTTGGCATGTTGGCGCGAGTGGGTACATGAACACCATGTAGCAATTCATTCGCGACGAACATACTGCGGCCCTAGATCGGGCATGTCGACTTGCATGAGGTCCATCGCGGCTTTGATTCGGTCGCCATCATCGCGGTGAATGAGAACGACAGGTATGGTCATGTGCCGCCACTTGTCCCATTCGTCTTGCTCCAGGAACGCATTCTGATGGGGCGAACCGAGCACTCCGCATGCAAAGTTGGCGCTGCACTCGCCAGAGTCCACCACGACCATGGCTGCGCCGCCTGCCTGTCAGCACCCCCAACACACTTGAGACGGTATGGCCTTGATGACGGAAATATACCTCTTGAACGCGTTTTGCCTTGTCGAAGATGGCAATGCTTCCCCGATCGACCAGGACGAGCCGGCCTTCGACTTGATGAGCATTGTATAGATCGTCCACGGCGGTGTTGGGCACTGCGTACACGATTTCTACGTCGGGAGAGAGATCATTGAGAAGGAGCGAGCATGACACGTCGCAACGAACCTCCAACGACGTAATATGCAGTTGGATTGTGGTGCGATTCCCACACGGAAACTAAAGTTTTGACAAGTTAGACGACACCGGCGCACAGGATCCCCATCGGTGCGTACCGACGGAGCCTTCGCGGAGAACATCCATGCAGAGATTGCAAAACGTCATGCCACGGCCTGCGATCAATGACCCCTGGACTCGTGGCAGGGAGCACAGGCCGTCTGAAGCGCAGGTGTCCGAAGACGCAGACGTCAGAACTACCCACAGCACCGTCAGGCCAATGCTACGCACGATGCGATTCCGCGGGAGCTGCCGCCGCCGGCGCGCTGGGCTGTGCATCGTTTTGCAGCGTGTTCGATTTTCGAGTGTGTCCTTTCGACGAACGTCACATCAAATTCGGCACGGTCGAGATGTCGACGTTTTACTGTTAAACGTCTTGGGCATTCGAGTTAAACCGACGATTCATTTACTGTTAACCAACATTGGCTGCGTTTTCTCCAAATGGTATGAAAGTAAAACGTCCGAAATATCCGCACGGACAATGGAATGCATACAAACATAAAAAAGTATATACAGTATATGTATTTATGGATGATAAAACAAGTTCAAAGTTTTTCTATTCTATATTTTTGCCAATATAAAAAAATACCCATGAGTACGGAAAAGTGCTTTTGGGGGGTAAAACATCATTTTCTCGTGTCTGCCCCGCCTTTTTATTCTCTTGCAAGAAATGTTGCACCTCATCAAGTTTGGACAAAGTATCCTTTTATGGGGTCGTCAAAACCTTGTCAGCAAAGAGAAACAGAGCATGACGACTTGTTTCTTGCGTCAACCTCTCGATCATTCAGGCCGAACGTGTGTTGGTTATCGGTATTTCTCCTATTACAAAAATGTCAAAGATAGCTGCAGAAAAGCAAATTTTTGAACTTCCAGTGTACAGAGGACAAACCTTGCAGTTCTAATTTTATAGATGATCGGAGGTATTCCTTTTGAATAGAATGTGCATGCAGCACATTTGTGGACACAACGTTCCATCGCATCGACCTCAGAGTACACTGCGCGCGCCACATGAATAGACCCACCCATAGATGAGTGTGCTATTCTGGAACTTTGAGTTCTGTGTTGGGCTGGATGGCACATTGGAGTCGATACACGACAGATACACGAGCAATGCATAGGCTGGAGCGATTCGTGACACAACGACCACCGCGAGGTGGCTAAACTCGAAATGTTTGGTAGGCCAGTCGAATCGACCCACACCCTCTTCCACCAGAGTTTCCCCTGGCTTCACCCTATTCAGGCATAGTTCACCATCTTTCGGGTACCAACATATATGCTCATACTCAAATCTTTCACCCGGAGGTTCATGATCGGTCGATAGTGCCAGAACCATTACAGCTCCTTCAATTTTCGTGTAACATTGTTCCAATGACTTAATTGGAACATGCCATAATTGTCAGGTCTGCCCACCTTTGACTTCGATCACAGCCAAACAGCGCTTTGTCATTGACTTGATGAGTAGCGCATGGATGGTCATTCTATCAAGTCCATCCCAGGCAGCATTGTTGGCAACTGCAAGGTCAAACACAGTGTGAAACACATTCGCGTACATTCGGTGGGCACGTCTTGCCCATAGGTTCTCGATGGGATTGAAGGCGGTGTGTGACAGTGCAGGGTGGTCACAATGGGTGCCATTCTCATGAAGCACTAAATTCCTTGTACACTGCTCGCCATATGGTTGCAGCCACACCATTATTTCGGCAATGCGCAAAGCTAAATCTTGGACATGTTCTCTGTAGGAACCATGCCGAGGAGATATTCAAATACATGTAAGCGACCTTTCGGAGTAAGTTGCGAAGTCGACATGCAGTAAGGAA